TATGTTTGTATTTTTGTTTCAGGGTGGACATATAATTTTCTTCCAGAGTCTAAGTCTTCTAGGTTATTGTCTATTTCCTCTGGACATTGGAGCTATCATCTGCATGTTGAAGGACAATGTGGTAGTCAAAATGATCGTGGTCTGTATGACATTGGCCTGGAGCCCCTGGGCTGCCTACCCTTTCATGAGTTCAGCTGTGAACCCAAGGAGAAAAGCCCTTGCTCTCTGTCCTGTTTTTCTCATGTATGTATCTGTTGGTTTTCTTATCATTGCCATTAATTAATGAATTAGTGGTTTCCATTTGGGTTTCCTCAGGTGAGCAGTTACATAGGAACCTCAGGCGGTGGTTGATTTTCATCCCATGTTACTGTATATTTTGACTTGAAATCATTGGGATTCAACCAGAGGATATTATACGCCAGTTGTATTTCAGTATACTTAGATTAAGTTAGGGCTTTTTGTTTCTCTTTTCTGCACCGTAAATTATATATTTTTTAAGTTGAATCCCATGTGTACATTTGTGTTAACAGCAATATGAACATATATATCTGGCATTTCCCTCTCCACTCTCACTTGTTTCCTTCTATTTAGTTTTCTTGTTTTCTCCGAAGAACTATCCTTTGGATTCGGAGGGACCATTGACAATAGAGGAAGACCCTTCCACCCAATGATTGGTTCCCTGCAGTTCAATGCAGTCAGATACTGCTCAAATAGAGTCACAGAGATAGAGTTTCTGGTGGTGCTGCTGATCGTTACCTCCAAAACGAAGATGATCAAAGTCATTTTGGTAGACTAGAAATCCTATTGGTTTTTATTGTCTTTCTAAAGCCAACTAGAGTTGCCATTCAGTCTCTTTTTAACAATCTTGAAAACTGTTCTTATTCCAAACAATTGGGAAGAGGAGAAAAAGGGCAGAAACAAGGAATCGATGGCCTCAAGTCAGCATCTGCCGTGCATGATTTTAATTTCCCCATGAATCTCCACAAAACAAACATAACAATAACGATATAAAACACTCCTAAACTAGGCTACATTTATTTGGGCAAGAAAAAGAAAAGTCTACATATAGCAGCTTATTCATGTACCACAATGAAAAAAAACAAAACTTCCCCAATAACATAAAACATCTTTATTTCCAAAGAGACATATAGCGGATAGAAACTAGAAATTCCAGTAGACAACATTAAATACTAGCCATGCATGAAAGAAATACACATTAATAACACAGGCATGTTGGAATTATTGCTAGAAACGTGGCATTCAAATCTACAGAAATAACGAAATGAAACTGTCATGAAATGGCAACAATGAGGCTGAAAATCAACGGCAAATGAAGCTGCAATTTAACAGCAAATATGGCAGCAATTTTGCTGGAAATATGATCGAGATGAAGCTGTCAAATGACAGCAAAATTGTGCAGCAAACTAAGCTGAAAATGTTGATGAAGATGAAGCTACAATCAACAGCAAATGAAATGTAAATGCAAATGCATGTAAATGAAGGGCTGCAAAGCTACCAAAGGATGCAGCAGGTGGCAAAAGTAGCTGTTATTTGTTTAAATTTCAAATGAACTTTTATTTTAATGTAGAATAGATTTGAATTTTGAATTGTTTGTTTTCTCCTATATATAGGAGAGTTTGTTAATAAGAAAAATTGAGTTGAAGTCATAGACTTATCTCCATTTTAGTTTAGGCTCTGCTTTTCATCATCTACCTGATCTTCTCTCCATTTATGTCTTTGTTTGAAAAAAACAACATGGTATCGGAGCCTTTCATGATCTTTGAGGGCTTGTGTGAGAGAGATTTGAGGGAAAAAGACCACCACAAACTCCAACCAAACCCAAATGGCTGCCAACAAGTTTTTCTTTCAAAATACCCCATTTTTTTTCTAACCACAGCGAACTCCTTCGAGCAAAAAAAAAAAAAAAATGCAGCAAAGATGCTGTGATGATGAAGGTTAACTTTAGGTCCTTCAATCTTTGAAAGTGGTTGACAAAAGGATGCAACCAATTTGTTAAGGCAGAAGAGTATGTGAAGCTGTAAAGTTGAAGGTTAACTTGACATCCTTCAATCTTCTTGAGGCAGAAGATATGCAAGAAGCAAGAGCAAAAGATGCTGGTTTGATGATGTTTTACGTTGCTGGTATGGGTGGTGTTTTATGCTACAGCATTAGTCCAAAAAAGCAAGGATGGCTTGTGAAGATGCAGATTGGGACCAAGAGAGTACTCAACATTGCATCAAGTCATTTTCATGATTGAGTAGCCAAATCTTTAGCTCAAGGAAGTTGTAGAAGATGTAGAAGATGATGAAGTAGCACTTTGAGGTACCAATTCCTTATTTTTATTTACTCAAAAAAGGCAACTTAGTTGCAAAACCTCCAAAATTTGTTTGAGGTAGCAAAATCCAAAGAAGGAAAGATGTAATGAAGGAGCAGCTGAGGTTATTTAAGAAGGATGGTACATGGCTGTGATGAAAAGAAAAAATGGTGAAGACCAAGCACAAGATGGACAGCAAAGGGCTGATCCCAGGTGCTTAGGTATAAATCTATTTTTGTTTTTGGTTTTGCAGCTTTGATGCCAAAGAGGAGTGTTGGAGTTATTGCTAGAAATGTGGCATTCAAAATTGCAGAAATGATGAAATGAAACTGCCATGAAATGGCAGCAATGAGGCTGAAAATTGACAACAAATGAAGCTGCAATTTGACAGCAAATATGGCAGCAATTTAGCTGCAAATATAATGGAGATGAAGCTATCAAATGACAGCAAAAATGTGTAGCAAACTAAGCTGAAAATGTTGATGAAGATAAAGCTACAATCAACAGCAAATGAAATGTAAATGCAAATGCATGTGACTGAAGTGCTGCAAAGCTACCAAAGGACGCAGCATGTGGAAAAAGTAGTTGTTATTTGTTTAAATTTCAAATGTACTTTTATTTTAATGTAGAATATATTTGAATTTCGAATTGTTTGTTTTCTCCTGTATATAGGAGAGTTTGTTAATGAGAAAAATTGAGTTGAAGTCATATACTTCTCTCCATTTAGTTTATGCTCTGCTCTTCGTCATCTACCCGATCTTCTCTCTATTTATGTCTTTGTTTGAAAAAAACAATGAGGCAAGAGGTCAAAAGTTTGAATTTTGAGAGTTGAGACAAGATGGAAGAGATCTGAGAAATAAAAGGGCTATCTTTGTTGTATAGCTAACCCTTCAGAAAACACCCCAAAAAATAAAAAGACAAGCATGGCTAAACACAAAGGGGTTATCCTTGTTGTATAGCCAACCCTTTAGAAAACACCCAAAAAAAAAAAAAAAAAAAGGGAAAAGAAGACAAGCATGGCTAGGCACAAATCAAGGAAAGTGCAGAATTGGTACAAGATGAAGGGGGGATTTCTTGCCAGTTGTTAGCCCAAAAGCTTCATCCATGTCCAATTTCTCAGTTTCACCGCCAGGCAACTTCCAATCAAACCAATATAAAAGGTTGGCAACAATGCAT